AAAAATAAAGCCACGCTTTTATCATGCATAAAAAGTGGCTTACATTTTTAAAAATGTTTTAACTTCTTACCGTGTACATATGAGCCCACACTCTCATACGTACACATAGCTCACAAACACAGAGACAGATGCCTGGCCCAACTTCAAGCGCAATTTTACGCAACAACAAAAAGTTTAATTGAGGATAAACTTTGCTGCGTTTGCGCTGCTGTTGAAAATCAACCAACGTCGACATGGAAAATTCCCCCAACACAGGAAAAGTCCTAGCAAACTTTGATGGGGAGGGGTAGTGAAAAGAGGCTTTGGTAGTGTAGGAATTGCGTGTATGTTTGCCTCTTATCTCTTTTGCTGTTTAAGTTTTCGCTTTCTACTCGACATTACTTTCTTAATTTCCTTTTTTCCAATGTTGCGCTGTTTGCGGCTAAACTTTAGCTTTAAGTTAACCATATCCGAATTGCTCAAAGAGAAAGGAGGAAACATGAAAATAAATTGAACATTTATTGGTCATTCATTGCGCTTCGCTTCTTGCATTGTTTGTCAAATGCCAAATGAATGACAAATATCAACAAAAAGGAAACGAAAAACGGTTCGACCGGAGAGTAGCCTTCTCCACGACCTGAGCCACCAATCAACCCACTCAACCAACCACCCAACCCCGTTTATCCCCAGAAAAAACCACATACACACTACATCCTTGTGCCATAATTCGTCCTTAGAACTGTAGACGAAACCAATGTGGGACAATGAAACACAAATGACCTGAATAAAAGCGACGACGCGACACAAACGATTGACTCTTCACGTTCCCAGGTTTTTTTTTTGTGAAATTGGAGGAATATCGGATGCACAAAGAACAGCTTAAAGTGGATGAAAAACTGATGGATACCCCGAGTTATGGGTACCTGCCTTGTGATATTTAAATACTTTTCAAGTTTAAAAATTAAATACAAAATAGTAAGTATTTATTTAAAAATTACATAATATCAATTTCTTAATTTTTTTTACTTATGAATGCTAGCAATAACTAGGGGAGAGGTTTGTAGGTTGGGATGGTCTGTAAGTTGAGGCACTCAAATTTCTCAAAACTTTTTCACTAAAAAAATTGTTTTCTTTTTTTTTTGTCCGTTTTAGTGACAAAACTTTCGGGGAAAACATTATAAGCCAGGCTCTAGCCAGATTTTAGCTGTGAGAGTCGTGTACCATTTTTCACCAAAAAAGTTTTTGTCCACTTTTTTCTAAATTCCACTAAAAATTAATAACGTGCTTAAATTAACTTGGTAAAAGATTTAAAACATTAGTAATTTAACTGTTAATAAATTTAAACAAGAAAGAAAGCTAGCTTCGGCAAGCCGAAGCTTATATACCCTTGCAGATCATTCTATTAATTTACAAATCGCAAAAATGTTAAATTTCTTATTATTTCACATTAATTTTTCGATCGTTTCTATCACAGCTATATGATGTAGTAGTTTGATCTTTTAAAAATTAAAATCGAAATTCGGAAATATTTCAAAATAGTCATATCCCAGAGTAGAAGGGAATGTAATAAAAACCAACAAAGATATAATTTTTTTCCCATTAATTTCCATTTAATTTTTTGACCGTTCCTATGGCAGCTATATGATATAGTGATCCGATTTTTAAAACAAAAAAACCGAAATTCAGAAATATATAAAAAAAATATTCCCAAGAGTAGAAGGTAAAATTTCAAAAAACACCGGAGCTAGAATTTTTTTACGTTTTTTTTTTTTGATCCTTCCTATGGGAGCTATAAGATATAGTTGTCCGATCCGGTTGGTTCCGACATATATACTACCTGCAATAGAAATACGACTTTTACGAAAGTTTCATCCCGATAGCTTTAAAACTGAGAGACTAGTTTGCGTAGAAACGGACGGACAGACGGACAGACGGACGGACAGACGGACAGACGGACATGGCTAGATCGACTCGTCTTGTGATGCTGATCAAGAATATATATACTTTATGGGGTCGGAAATGTCTCCTTCACTGCGTTGCAAACTTCTGACTGAAATCATAATACCCTCTGCAAGGGTATAAAAAGCATCAGGTTGATATGACAGTCAGAAAAAAAGTTATTATTTTTTTCCGAAACATCCCATATTGTGTAAGTTGGGACACTTTGAGCGTGTAAGTTGAGACACCCGTTTTTCATACAAAAAGGCCTTAGCCCGACAGAGCTCGCTTTCTGCCTAGTAAATTTCTTGGATATTAGGGGAAAAGTGAATGTTCAATGAGCCTTTTGGTTTTAATTGTTATTTGGTCTAAGTACTTATAAAATGGATAGGAAATAATTTAAGACGAACTTAAATTGATTAAATTAACATAAATAAATAGTTTTTAAAAGTTTGTAGTACTTTTGATGTGAGTATTATTGACTTTTAAAAGTGTCCCAACTTACAGACCTCTTTTTCAAAATGTCGTTTTTTGACACTTTTCAAAAAAAATTATTTTTTAGTTTTCCCTAAGGAAACAATTTTTTTTTTGTTTTTTTTTAAAGCCAATAGACTAACCTTTCTATCAGTACTAAATGCGTGAAACTTAAAAAAAAAACTGTGCCATCGGAAAAAAAAAATTAGTGGTATATATCACTCGCTATGATCGGACTATCACAGCAGATTTTTAAATCTGCGGCTATATAATAGAAGTCCCCTTCGCACACTCTCCTGGTGCGCTGCGTCACTACACAGAGAAAATTATCAAAAGTTTTAGGTGCAAAATAAGGGGCGAAACATTTTAAAAAGTAAAACGTTTCATACCAATTTATTTTAGTTTGCATTTTTAAAACGTTTTTAATTTTTATTTTTAAAACGTCTTTATATAAAAAGGGCACTTAACGTTGTATAATTTTCTCTGTGTACGTGGACTGCCGTCCACAATGATTTTAAACAAGAAAGAAAGCTAGCTTCGGCCAGTCGAAGCTTATATACCCTTGCAGATCGTTCCTATTAACTTAGAAATCGCAAAAATTTTAAATTTCGTATTATTTTAATATTATTATACCCTTGCAGAGGGTATTATGATTTCAGTCAGAAGTTTGCAACGCAGTGAAGGAGACGTTTCCGACCCCATAAAGTATATATATTCTTGATCAGCATCACTAGACGAGTCGATCTAGCCATGTCCGTCTGTCCGTCTGTCCGTCTGTCCGTCTGTCCGTCTGACCGTCTGTCCGTCTGTCCGTCTGTCCGTCTGTCCGTCTGTCTGTTTCTACGCAAACTAGTCTCTCAGTTTTTGAGCTATCGGGATGAAACTTTCCCAAAAGTCTTCTTTCTATTGCAGGTAGTATATATGTCGGAGCCGACCGGATCGGACAACTATATCTTATAGCTCCCATAGGAACAATCGGAAAAAAAAAACTTTAAAAAATTCTAACTTCGGTGTTTTTTGAAATATTACCTTCTACTTTTGGGGATATTATTTTTTTAATATTTCTGAATTTCGAATTAATTATTTAAAAAATCGGACGACTATATCATATAGCTGCCATAGGAACGATCGGAAAATTAATGGAAAAGTAATAGGAAATAAATTCTAGCTTCTTTGGTTTTTATTGTATTATCTTCTACTCTAGGATATGACTCTTTTTAAATATTTCCGAATTTCAATTTTAATTTAATCAAAATCGGACGACTATATCATATAGCTGCCATAGGAACGATCGGAAAATTAATGGAAAAGTAATAGGAAATAAATTCTAGCTTCTTTGGTTTTTATTGTATTATCTTCTACTCTAGGATATGACTCTTTTTAAATAATTCCGAATTTCAATTTTAATTTGATCAAAATCGGACGACTATATCATATAGCTGTCATAGGAACCATCGGAAAATTAATGATAAATATTAGAAAATTGAACATTTTTGCGATTTGTTAATTAATAGGAATGATCTGCAAGGGTATATAAGCTTCGGCTGGCCGAAGCTAGCTTCCTTTCTTGTTTTTTCTATCCTTCCCTCTTGCAGCTATATAATATAGTCGTCCGATTTTTGTTAAATTTAATTCAAAACTCTGAAATATTAAAAAAATCATATCCTAGAGTATAAGAGAATACAATAAAAACCAACGGAGCTATAATTTGTTTCCAATTAATTTCCCATTAATTTTTCGATCGTTCCTATGGCAGCTATGTGATATAGTCGTCCGATTTTGATAAAATGAAAATTGAAATTCGGAAATATTTAAAAAAAATCATGTTCTAAAGTAGAAGAGAATACAACAAAAACAAAAAAAAAGCTAAGATTTATTTCTGTGTAACTTTCCCATTAATTTTCCGATCGTTCCTATGGCAGCTATATGATATAGTCGTCCGATTTTTAAAATATTTTATTCGAAATTCTAAAATATTTGAAAAATAATATTTCCAAGAGTAGAAGGTTTTATTTCAAAAATCACCGAAGATAGAATTTTTTTAACGTTTCCTTCCTATGGGAGCTATAAGATATAGTTATCCGATCCGGTTGGTTCCGACTTATATACTACCTGCAATAGAAAAAAGACTTTTGGCAAAGTTTCATCGCGATAGCTTCAAAACTGAGAGACTAGTTTGCGTAGAAACGGACGGACAGACGGACGGACAGACGGACAGACGGACATGGCTAGATCGACTCGTCTAGTGATGCTGATCAAGAATATATATACTTTATGGGGTCGGAAACGTCTCCTTCACTGCGTTGCAAACTTCTGACTGAAATCATAATACCCTCTGTAAGGGTATAAAAATAGAACATTACCTTAAGAAAAGGATTTTCCAATTTTAAAAACTGAGAAAACGGCATTGCTTGTTATTAAATTTCATGGTTCCACCATTAAAATGTTTTTAACTGTGTTATGTTTGTAAACTTTTTCAATGACCAGATCTTTTTCTGCGTCATAAATATTTTTGTCAGAGGACTTTAAACAAATACCCTTTACAAAAACCTGAAAAACAGCTCAGTCAAACCAGGCCCAACAAAAAATGCAGTACCCTTTTTTTTTAACCGATTTTAACGAATTTTATTAAGGGCTATCAGTCATTGAACACACAAACGGTTGCTTAATCCCTGGGAATGTGTTTTTTTCCTTTACCACAAAGCGGGCGCGGCATAGTTGAAAGGTGCTGGAGCGTAAGCCAATGGAGCCGTGTACTTGGCCAAAACAGTCGCAGCATAAGGATGGGTGTATGGGGCAGCAAACGGAGTGGCAACGGGAGCAGCCAATGGACCCACTCTATTGAGGATTGGTGCAGCCAGGGGAGCGGGAAGCGGAGCAGCCAACGGGGCAGCGAATGCAACAGGAGCTGGAGTCCTCAAAACTGGAGCAGGTGCCACTGGGACTTGGGCGATCAGTGGAGCAGCGGCAATGCCATTGAAGGTCCTGGCCACCACCTGGCTACTGGCGGCAGTGACAACGGGAGCAGGAGCCGCGATCACAGGAGCGGGAAGGGCTGCCAAGGGAGCATGGATCAGTCCTGGCTTACCAGCCGCACAGGCAATCAGGGCGCAGAGGACGACGGCCTACGAGTTAGACAAAAATTAATTCAATTTATTGGTTCAGTTACTTTGCAATCCAAAACTAACGTATTTGAACATGTTGGGTTTTGGTTTTTTAAATTAAAGCTGAGCTTGGTTGGATTGTCTTTAAAGCAAAAAGCTTACTGATGACGAACGCAGACAGCGCGTGTCGTATTTATACCACTGAACGCCCCACTGGCTGCTACTTAATATTCTAAAAGCGCCGCAACCGTTGTCCCATTATAAGTGTCTGCAAAATATTAGTTGGTAGTTTTTAGGCTTTTGGTCTTCGAGGGACGGCATAAAACCCGAAGGGCAGCCAATTGCACTCGATGTCTAATTATACGAAAATGGGTTTTAAATGCAATTTCGATCTTACGAGGAATTTACCGTATTTCGTTGATGTGGGCAATGCGACCTACCAAGTGGGCTAATGGGTAGCTATACAAAACGAACTTCGTATTTCTTTCCTAAATTGTTCTTCAAGTGCCAGACCTCCAAAAAATACACAGGGCAGCACAAACGGACGGTTACCCGAGGTAGAAATTTATAAGTTTTCCGGGTCAAAAGTTAACCAAAAATGGTGATAGCAATAATTCAACTAAACTTTTTTCACACATAAACCTAACCCTTTGTTTTTGGCTCCAGGCCTATTCATTGAAAGCCTGTTGTCAGCCACAATATATATGTACATATATAGACCAGACCAGGCTCGCCGGCCAATTAAGCATTTTGAACACGTGCCGACTTTGGTCAGCAGTAGAAAGCACACTTGAACACACTCGAATGATTTTGGGAACTCCTCTGCTGGACGGCGACATTGCAACATTTATTGTCTTGGGCATTCGGGTCAAGGCTGGAATGCGGCTGTGGTTGGTTGACTGACCTTTGCTATTTGTTTAGGAAATTAAATAAGGACGGTCTTGAGTGAAAGTGAAAATAAACAATTGCTGAGAATGAATTTTTGGCGTTCGCTTTTTAGATAGGGGTTCCAAAGATCATGTATTTTCCCTAAAATCAGATGTTTTTGTTTTAAGCATCAATAAAAAAAATTGGAGTAATGGACACGTCTGCTGTAATTGTTGCCACTCCGTGTGGCAAAAGACAACACCAAATAGAATATTCATTTAAACTATGCTTTTAGTTTATTTTAGAACAAATTATAAAGTCTAATCGCAAGTTTTGAACAGAAAATGAAGATACATTTATTAAATTGTGTTGTCGCGCCGTCTTCTTTACACAAACTCAAACTCGGTGATGGGCGACGCGATCTCGTGATAAGGTATAAATATCGAAAGCGGGCTGATAAGTTAAAGGGTGAATGGCGATAAATTTATATGGATTTTAATGAACTAGCAACAGTAATAATAGTATGATGTATAGCATTAGCATTTAAATTAAGATATATCTTTCAACTTGCTTTCTGTATCCCCAATTATAACAAACTTTTAAAAACGTAGGGCGGGAGCATCACTATTATTTTGACAGCAACTGTATGTCGTACACACAAAAAAATTTGCTTGGTAAAAGTGACCAACAAAGATAGTTACGTAACTATTAAAATAGTTACGTGTATTTTGTTTTTGCTTTGGGTTTGTGTCTTTGCTAATTGTGTGTATTTTGTTGTCGGAGACGACACCAACATGCGGGAGATCATCAAGGAGGGAATGCTGGACATAAACATGGCCAACCTGAATCGCAAGTACACCAATCACATAGCCGACATCAGTGAGATGGACGAGCGGGTGCTGCTCTGCTGTCCGTTGGCCAGGGATCGCAAAAAGGAGTCGCATCCCAGCCCACTGCCCGCCTTGTGCTCCTTTTCCCCTTCACACAGGAAACTTCTGGCCCAAGATCTTCCCCAAAACCTGGCCGCCTGCATAGTAAAAGGCTTGCAGAAGGAGGAAGATGGGGAGAAGGCTATTAAATATGTAGATGACACCTTGCAAAAGATGGAGAGGACTTTCACCAGTGCGAGTGCCGCCAAAAACTTGGATGCCAAGGCGGCCGCTAAGCGTTTCCATCTGGCCAGAGGTCTCTATTACAAATTTCTGCTCAAGTTTCTTTCCTCGGAGATGGTTAAAAAGCCGCAGCTTAAGATTGGTCAGTTGCTGAAGCAGCGCACGCTAACCCAAAGCCTTTTGGCCTGCTGTCTGGAGGTCTCTCTCCACGTTCACGATGAGCAAGTGGATAACTTAAAGTTTCCCTTTGTGCTGGACTGCTACTTGCTGGATGCCTACGATTTTCAGAAGATCCTGGAGCTGGTGGTGCGCCACGATAATGGTTTTTTGGGTAGAGAGCTTATCAAACACCTGCATCTCGTGGAGGACAAGTGCCTGGAGTCGCTGATTTTCCGCAAGACCTCGCAGTTGTGGTGGAACCTAAAGCAGAGGATGCCCGCCTACCAGGATGTGCAGATGTCGGAGGCGGAGGGCAAGGAGAACTCCTCGACGGGAGCGGGCATCTGCCTGCGAAAGTTCTACGGTTTGGCCAACAGGAGATTGCTGCTTCTCTGCCAGAGCCTCTGCCTGGTGGATGCCTTCCCGAACATCTGGCACTTAGCAGAACACTCCTTCACCCTGGATGGTGGCCGAATGCTGCGTAATCGCCACCTGGACCAACTGCTCCTGTGTGCCATCCATCTTCATGTGCGGCTGGAGAAGCTGCGCCTCACCTTTAGCCTGATTATCCAGCACTATCGCCGGCAGCCCTTCTTCCAGAGAAACGTCTACCGGGAGGTCGATCTGGGCAATGGCCAGTCGGCGGATATCATCCGTTTCTACAACAGCGTGTATGTGAAGAGCATGGGCAGCTACGGTCGTCATCTGGACTGCGAACAATCGCGGAAGTCACAAAAACCGTTGGGTATTTTAAAGGATATCCCACTCAACGAGCGCTCCTTGGGATCGAATATAATTATATCCGCGACACCCCCGCCAAAGGTGTGCAAAAATGGCTCCTGCTCCAGTCTTCCACCGCCCCATGCATCCCCCCCGCCCACGCAGATCTCGCCCAGCATGAAACGCGCCGCTTCGAGCAGCGAACTGAGAGAGGTCAAGCGTCCCAACATCCTGCGCCGCACCAGCTTTCAGTGAAAGCATGAAAAACTTGGCTACATTTTACGCAGCCAGCCTTGGATTATACATATAAGATTTCCCTTAGCCCCTTGTAAATGAATAAAAACGAATTATCAACTTAACTGGAATATTTTTTAAAGACGGCTTAAGAATTGTATTAAAAATAGGTTTTTAAAAGATATACAATAAAATATCAACCTTCCTCATTTAATAATATTTAAATAGTTTTTGTTTGGCTTTGAAGATTTCCCTGAATTTCCCTTTGCCTCTTGTAAATGAACTGCTCAAGTGAACTTCAAACGCAAATAAGAAGGAAATATCAACTGAACTGGAATGCTTTTTAAATGCGGTTTAAGAATTGTATTAAGAATAGTTTTTTAAAAGATATACAATAAAAAATCCACCTTCCTCATTTAGTATATTTAAATAGATTTTTATTGAATGCCATTTTGCTTGGCTTTGAAACTTGGTTCAAAATATTTGTGCAATCTCTTTCGGACACGAAAACGGGAGACGATGCAGGGCCCCTTCATATTACACACAATAGTTGGGCTTAGAGTGGAGTATACATAAAACATACTGAGAGCGTACGACTTAGGGCTAGTTACTTAAACGTTTTCTGGCTTATGAGTAGGAGTTAAGAAGGAGGCGGTGCTACGCCGGCGACGGGAGCAGTGCTCGGTGGAGGAATGCTGCCGGTGGGTGCCATCGCGGATCCCGGCGGTCCGCCATCGGCCACTGGAACGCTGCTGGGCGGTGTGGTGTCTATAAAAAGGGTTTACAAAGCGTTAATAACAGTGTTGAAAGAAGTATTATCCGTAGTAGAGCCCTGCATGAATCATTCAATTTTTGTTTTATTATAGTATGCCATGAAATTTCTGATTTGTTTAATTCAATTCTATGTGAAATAAATTGAATGTTGTTCTAATTCATTTCGAATTGAATGAATTGAATGAATTATTTTATGAATTTTTTGAATTTTTCAGATTTTTTTCTGTTTTCTTTTGAGAACAAAAAGTGGAAAATTTTTAACAAATCAATGTTAACTGCATAGTAAATAAAATTCAGGCAGATTTAATCACAAAATTATGGCCCTTTCTTCTTCAAAATAAATTGTCGTTTGAATTATTTCGGAATTCATGCCATTCATTCATTCAATTCTATTAAGCTCAAAATTCAAATTCATTCAATTCTATTAAACTCCAAAATTCTAATTAATTCATTCATATAACAAAAAAAATTCAAAATAATTCATTGGATCCATTCATGCAGGGCTCTAATGTGTATGTTTTCTTTCGTTTTAGTTTCCTAAAAGAAACTCTTAAATTACTTTGAGTATGGGATTTGAATGATAAAGTGTGACACTTTTCAGTTCATTGGCTGCCTTACAAACTAATAATTCTTTCGCTTGTAATAACCCTCAAAGGCTTTGCAATTTTTCTCAGAATCCTTGCCTCGTAGAATTTTTTTGCAAACAAATTAAAAAATGGTGATTCAAAGTGACAAAGACTTTAAGGCAAATTTGAAAATTAACTAAAAAAATTTTTAGTTCATAAAAAACAATCTTCTAACATTCATCTAATTTCTCTAATTTCATCTCATCAAATTAATGTCTTATAGTTTTTGGGCACTCAAGTAAGCATAAAATCCCTGCAGGAAACGGAATCAGTTTTGGACTATTAAAATACTAGTTGGGTCAAGAAGGTTAACTAGTTCAAGTTATGTCCATTTCCTTGTAACGAAGTGGTCCATTTTTCATATGCTTGTAGTCGGAAACAACTAGTCCATTTGCTACTAGTTTTGCACTAGTGACTGTTAACCAATTTATGGTTTCAGCTGTTAAACTACACTAACAAAAAATATTTTTACGAAAAAACTAAAAATTAATCTCTAAACCATCAAGTGATTGCATTTCACTACACACAAAAAAAAACTTGGTAAAATCAACTGTAATAATTGTCAAACAGGCCCCAACCAGCAAAATTGTCAATTCTACTAAGTAAATAGTCATTTCCCAACAACAAAATACACACAATTAGAAAAGACACACACCCAAAGCAAAAACAAAATCCACGTAACTATTTTAATAGTTACGTAACTATCTTTTTTGGTCAATTTTACCAAGCAAATTTTTGTGTGTGTAGTACTTGACGATGCCTAACTTGACGCTCTCCTAATTTAGTATCCAACTAATAGGCGCGGTCCTTAGAGAATTTCTGAATTTCATGTAATCAAATACAGTAAATGATAATTAAATTGAATTAAAACAAACTTACTTTTTTTGAGGCAAGTAGCCCTCTCTAGGACTTGAACCAGGGACCTTTGGATTTGTAGACACACTAAGTGATTGAGCCATACACGCATCACATTTTGTAATGCCCAAACAAGGTTTATGAACTTTAGTGTGACATAATTCAAAAACAGTGATTTTCACATATATATTGCCTCGGACAGATTAAACAAAGTTTAAAATAAAACTAAAGCATCACCTAGCAAACAAAAACAAAAAAAATGTACAGAGACTGGGGATTGAACCGAGGACCTCGAGTGTTTGATTTGTTTATTGTTAAATTTCCCAAGACATTTACACTCTAGGCTATATTTTTGGATCATATGTGTTTCATTTGCAACTAGTTAAATTCCAGTTGCCTTTTAACTAGACCCTAACATGTATTTGTTCTACCAGTTAAATATATTTTTTTGTCACAAAAGGTACTAGTCCGAGACAAGTTTATTATACCCGTTACTCGTAGAGTAAAAGGGTATATTAGATTCGTGCAAAAGTATGTAACAGCTAGAAGAAAGCGTTTCCGACCCCATAAAGTATATATATTCTTGATCAGGGGCACTAGCCGAGTCGATCTAGCCATGTCCGTCTGTCCGTCTGTCTGTCTGTCCGTCTGTCCGTCTGTATGAACGCTGAGATCTCAGAAACTACAAAAGCTAGAAGGTTGAGATTTTCCACACATATTCTTTGACTTCCTACGCAGCGCAAGTTTATTTTAGCCGAGCGCCACGCCCCCTCTAACGCCCACAATCACCCACTAACGATTTTAAAATGGGTCCTGCGCCCACATCTTTAAAGATTTCCGAGAAGTATAAATGCAATTTTGTTGTGTATATTTATACCTATCGAAATGTAGAAGACATTTTTCAAATCGGACCATTCATTAAAAAGTTATACGCTTTATAAATTGTCAACATATATCTATCTCCCTCGCACTCCCTTTAGCTGAGTTACGATTATTAGTCGGGACACCAACCCGACACAGCGTTCGCACTCCCTTTGGCTGAGTGACGGGTATTAGATAGTCGGGACACCAACCCGACTATAGCGTTCTCTCTTGTTTTTAAAATATTTTTTGCCTGCGGCGCATAGCGCTTCTTTACATTTTCTTTAGTACTTGTATTGCGGTTAGGATTATAAAATGCGTGCATTATTGGTGTTGCCTTTTCTACGATTTTGTTTAAAAATATAAAAATTAAAGGTTTTATAACGGCTAAGACCGTAACAAATGTTACAATAAATAATCCTCCTTGGACCGCGATTTCTCCAGATTCACCTAAAGGATATGTATGTCTTGGTCATCCGTGGTCACTCCAGTTCTTAAGGTATCACTGCCCACCGAGGATATTTAATTCGCTGTTGTGGGGTCTGACCTGCTATAAAACCAATTTCACATTTTTGTCGAATTTTATTATTTTGACAACAAACGAAAAGCCCATGTATTTTTTATAGCAAAATGTCAGTCTCCCATTTAGACATTCGCTTTTGAAACTTCACGTGTTAGGTACCGATCGAAAGCTTAGTCTTTTTTTCCCGGGGAAAACTAAAAAATTATTTTTTTGAAAAGGGCCAAAAAATGACAATTTGAAAAATTGGTCTGTAAGTTGAGACACTTTTAAAAGTCAATAATACTCACACCAAAAGCACTCCAAACTTTTAAAAACTATTTATTTATGTTAATTTAATCAATTTTAGTTCGTCTTAAATTATTTCCCATCCATTTTTTAAGAACTTAGACCAAATAACAATTAAAACCAAAAGGCTCATTGAACATTCACTTTTCCCCTAATATCAAAGAAATGTACCAGGCAGAATGCGACCTCTGTCGGGCTAAGGGTGTCTCAACTTACGCGCTCAAAGTGTCCCAAGTGTCCCAAAATTAAAACCTTTTTTTCTGACTGTCAAATTAAGCTAATTCTTTTTTTAATTTGGTAACAGTTTAATTACTAATGTTTTAAACCTCTTACCAAGGTATTTTAAGCACGTTATTAATTTTTAATAGATTTTTAAAAACAAGTGGACAAAAACTTTTTTGGTGCAAAATGGTACACGACTCTCACGGCTTAAATCTGGCTAGAGCCTGGCTTATAATGTTTTCTCCAAAAGTTTTGTCACTCAAAAAGACAAAAAAAAAAAAAATTTTTTTAGTGGAAAAGTTTTGAGAAAATTGAGTGTCTCAACTTACAGACTGTCTCAACCTACAGACCTCTCCCTAATATATTTGACGTAAGTTAAAAAAGAAAAACTAATAAATCGTAAAGGTAAAAATTAAAAACAAACAAATTTGGCATAAAATTAAAAAAAAATGGCCAATGAGGATTTTTTATTTTGCTTATACTGAAAAGCATTATTGCATTTTGTATAAATTTAAAAAGAAAGAAATCTGAAATAAAAAAATTGCGCGATTTTTTTACATTTTGTTGGCTTTTGGTGAACATTTTTTTTGTTTTTCTTTTGTTTAATGCTTACATTGCGTTCAAAATTATAAATAACGTCTATGGCTGAGATGTATGAAATATTCGTAACGGACTTGTGTGACGGCCAAGACCACAAAATAGGTCAACGGAAATGATCCTCGAGCTTTGAAGTTCGATTACAAGTGAACCATGGCAGTCCGCGACTATATTTCTTCATGGAAATTCTTAAGAATTCGCTGTCCGGCGAGGATAATTTTTTCGCGAATTTTGGGGGTAAGGACCATAAACTAGAGTATTACCAAGCTATTAAATTGGGTTTAATCGTCTAATAGTACAACTACTAATAGTGCAACTACGAAAAAATACATTTTTATACCCTTGCAGAGGGTATTATGATTTCAGTCAGAAGTTTGCAGCGCAGTGAAGGAGTCGTTTCGTAAAATTTTTTCAAAATCGGACGACTATATCATATAGCTGCCATAGGAACGATCGGAAAATTAATGGGAATATAATAGGAAATAAATTATTGCTTCGTTGGTTTTTATTGTATTCTCTTCTACTCTAGGATATAACTCTTTTCAAATATTTTTGAATTTCGATTTTAATTTTATCAAAATCGAACTACTATAACTACTTTTACAATGGCAGCTATATGACTGCCATTGAATCGAACGCAAAATTAATGAGAAATAATAGGAAAATTAACATTTTTGCGATTTGTAAATTAATAGGAATTATCTGCAAGGGTATATAAGCTTCGGCTGGCCGAAGCTAGCTTCCTTTCTTGTTGTTTTTCAGTCCAGTCAAGTCTATTTACTCCTATTAATAAAGGACTTACGTTTTAGTACAGAAATCGCAATGATAACTCATTTAAGAAAGATCTAATCACGTAAAATTTAGACTTGTATCAACTTTTATTCTAACGGCTATTTATATTAATATTAATGGCATGGCGACTATGTCAACTTTTGTCCGGGATAGCAAGACAACCCACTAACCCTAGACAAACCCATATCTGAACCAAAAATCATCATTAAGTTTCCATAAAAAAAACGGCTTGGGCAATTTTTTTTTTTTATTTTATTATTACGTGTCATTATGTTCAGTTCATTGAAATATGGGGAAGTAACGTCACGACAAAAATTCCAAATAAATGTAGTCGTCTCCCCTTATCGTGTCGACAATGTTTGTACCAGGGACCGAAAATAACTGTTATTGTAAAGTTTTCTTCTCAAACAAATCATACACTTAGAAGAGCCCTAAAATTTGTTAAATACACCATTATTTTTGTTAGCCATTGTAGTTTACAAATCCGCAATGAATTTTATTTATTTGATTTTTATAATAAAACTCAAAAAATAACTGTTATTTGTTGATTTTTATGTATAACAGTTATTCCCTTAACATTTAAAAAAATTAAATAATTAAAAAAAACATGCAAACCGTGTTTTTATAACTTACTAAAAATCTTTAAAAAAAAGCTAACCGTGCATATTGTATAACTATATTTTTATACCCGTTACTCATAGAGTGAAAGGGTATATTACATTCCTTCAAAAGTATGTAACAGGTAGAAAGAAGCGTTTCCGACCCTATAAAGTATATATATTCTTTATTAGGGTCACTAGCCGAGTCGATCTAGCCATGTCCGTCTGTCCGTCTGACCGTCTGTATGAACGCTGAGATCTCGGAAACTACACAAGAGAGAGGGTTGAGATTTCCCACACATATTCTTGGGCTTCCTACGCAGTGCAAGTTTATTTCAGCCGAGCGCCACGCCCCCTAACGCCCACAATCACCATAAACGATTTTAAGATGTGTCTGGCACACACACCTTTAAAGATTTCCTAGAAGTATAAATGCAATTTTGTTGTGTATATTTATACCTATCGAAATGTAGAAGACATTTTTCAAATCGGATAATTCATTAAAAAGTTATGCGCAATCAAAATCTTAAATATACATCTCCCTCGCACTCCCATTAGCTGAGTGACGGGTATCAGATAGTTGAGACACTAACCCGACTATAGCGTTCTCTCTTGTTCACTATTAAATAGTTGATTATACATATTTTCTTGTGTCTATGAACGCTAAAATCTCGAAAACTATAATCTCAGCCAAAATGCTCCACAGCAATTGATTGCAAATTATGTTAGTGTTGGGGCCCTAGATCAAGAAAATACCACTAATTATTTTTTTATGGCACAGTTTTTTTTAATTTTGGTTATATATTAAATTTTTTTTCTTTTTCCTGCCGTCACCACTCATTTTTGTTTCCATGTCGCCGCTTATGACAAATCAAATAAAAACACCTCTTAACGAGGTAAAAAACTAGTGACGATCGCACCTTCAACGTAGTTTAGAACAAATAGTTTTGATATCAACTTTTGTGATGAAAAATGATTTTAGATGCGACTAAATAAGTACGCTGCCTAAAATTTACTCGATCGGCCCGCTTTAGCAAATATTTAATATCTACACGAAAGTTTTCTGTTGTAGCGTGCCGAATTTTAGCTATTTATAGCTGTTTTCCCCCTAAAATAGCCAGTTTTTTCAAAAGTGGTAGAACAAAAGTTTTTTATATCGATGTGATGAACGTCATATCAAATTTTCAGAACTTAAAAAACATATTTTGGACAAACTGACAAACTGACAAACAGAATTAAATTTTCATTTTGGGAAGAATAAGAAAATCTTATTTTGGCTATAACTTTTGAACGGAGCGTCGGAGCATATGACCCCTCATTCGACGGGTATTTTCAATAGGAATACAACTAAAACATTGCGAGGGGGCTTTTATCCCCACCGGCCCCAACAGCTCCAAAATTCGAAATTTTCACTTTTTCACTTTCACCTCTCTCTCTCCCAAACCAATTGATTTTCTTGAGGTCTTGGTATGCAATCCTTTAAGTTTTTGCAATACCTTTCGATTGGTGTATTACTCATTACGATCGGACTATCACAGCAGATTTTCAATTTTGCGGCTATATAATAGTAGTCGCCTTCGCACACTCTTCTGGTGCGCTTCGTCACTACATGGACTGCCGTCCATAGTGATAGCTGCCATAGGAACGATCGGAAAATTAATGGAAAAGTAATAGGAAATAAATTCTAGCTTCTTTGGTTTTTATTGTATTATCTTCTACTCTAGGATATGACTCTTTTTAAATATTTCCGAATTTCAATTTTAATTTGATCAAAATCGGACGACTATATCATATAGCTGCCATAGGAACGATCGGAAAATTAATGAGATTAATGAAATTAATTGAACATTTTTGCGATTTGTTAATTAATAGGAATGATCTGCAAGGGTATATAAGCTTCGGCTGGCCGAAGCTAGCTTCCTTTCTTGTTTTTTTATTGCAACTTCAAATTGTATACCTATAAAAAAAACACCCATTATCACCAGATAACAGTTTTGTTGTAGTTTTGTATTGTTTTTAGTTGTGCCGTCAGATGGAAAGGATGGTTCACGCCAAAAGCTGTAAGATTTAACTCTGATGAAATTTTTGAATCGTACATTTACAGAAATATGCTCAGTAGATGTGAGCAACTTTCTGCTTTTACACTTTTGAAAAATAATGATTTTTGGGAAAGTTCCATTAAAAAACAAATCGTTCGTCACATTACCCTACAACTTTTGAAAGTGCAAAAAAAGTATGGTTCACACCAAACTTTCTGCGTTTACACTTTTAAAAAATATTGATTTTTAGAAAAGTTACATTAAAAAAACCAATCGTTCGTCACCTTACCCTACACTCCCCTTCTAATTAAATCCCATTAATTTACATTAAATTTCGTTGTGTGGTTCTAGGTGATCGCAGTTTTATTTAGATGAGGAGTGGTGTGGGAGCAGCGGCGTAGCTAAGAGGGGTGGAGAATGCCAAAGGGGAGGAATATGCCAACGGGCCAGCCAAAGGAGCAGCTGCGTACTTGGCGACCACTGGAGCAGCCACGGGGGCAATCACGGGGGCAGCAGCGATTCCATTGTAGTTCCTGGCGATCACCTGGCTACTGGTGGCGGTCACGACTGGAGCAGGAGCAGCCACCACTGCAGCAGGAGCAGAGTAAGCCAGAGGAGCAGTATAGGCCAAGGGAGAAGTGTAGGCCAGAGGAGCACCCAGGAGTCCTGGTTTGGCAGCAGCACAGGCAACTAGGGCGAGGAGGACAACAGCCTGTGGATAACAAACATTTATAAAACTATACAAAATATCAAATCCTTAAACTTACGGATTTGAACATTTTGAAGGTTTATTTGCTTTGGTGCTTTCGGTTCGAAAACTTGAACTTGTGTGATGTCGTTCAACACTTTTCCTTTCGTTATTTATACTGCGTCTGTGACCTCAGAGCACCGAATTCATTGGCCACCAACAGATATTCCACATTCAGCAGTGGGAAATCACATAAAGTATGGTAAAGTGCAAATAGTAACGCGAGACTGTCACAGCATTTAAATGAACTGAGTGCGTCAGAGCTAAGTAAAGTTTTGGGTATAAATGTGCTACACCAAGATCAGTTGGACATCATTCAGTTTCTAGCCCTTCGAAGAAGCAAATCAAGTAATATAGCCACCATGTTCAAATACGTAAGTTCTTATAAAAAGGAACATTGGAGGATTATATTAATTAAGTTAATTTATACGTAGGCCGTTGTTGTCCTCGCCCTCGTTGCCTGTGCTGCTGCCAAACCAGGACTCCTGGGTGCTCCTCTGGCCTACACTTCTCCCTTGGCCTATACTGCTCCTCTGGCTTACTCTGCTCCTGCTGCAGTGGTGGCTGCTCCTGCTCCAGTCGTGACCGCCACCAGTAGCCAGGTGATCGCCAGGAACTACAATGGAATCGCTGCTGCCCCCGTGATTGCCCCCGTGGCTGCTCCAGTGGTCGCCAAGTACGCAGCTGCTCCTTTCGCCTACTCGTCCCCTCTCGCTTACACTTCTCCTCTGGCCTATAATGCGTTTCCCGCTGGCGCTCCAGTTCTTGTCTAAGCTTTAAAATAAATATAAAAATCAAAACAAACTCAAAGTTCTCCTCCTTTTTCTCCTAATGGGATTTACCGATGGCATACCAATTCCACTGATACTCGAGGCCTGCTGATGGGACATTTGAATGTTTTAAAATGCCGGTCACGTAATGGTCATAAAAATTATTGTCAGCTCAGCGGCAGCAGATGCCGTCCAATGTTTTTTACATTAAATTGTGCGAAATTGATTTGTATTCGGGGTCTACTATAATGTTTAGCTTTGAGTACAGAGCATGGCAATTATGTCAAGGTCAAAGAGTGACTTGTGCCCGACTGCAACCCTTGTTTTCGATAACGGTCAGAAGTGTGCACAAAAATATGTTTTGGCTATAATTTACGCAAAAATAAAATTAGACAGCATAACCTGCATTTTAAAATACTTTTTCAAATTGATATATCGCGTACCTGTACACTCAGAGAAATGTTTGACTATTTCATTAGTAACCTTTGACCCAAATATTTTGAATCGACTAAAATTTTAGTTTCTGTGAGGATTTTTGGCAGACTCAAGGTCGAAGTTGGTATCAATAACCCAACAATTTGTTACCATTTCAACACACTTGCACTCTGTGGGAAGTGAACCTCGGACTTTCCGGGATTTGCAAATTTCGGTAGGGCGTCATCGCTACCTTATCACACGGAGAAGAGGATGTGAGCTGAGCGTCGAAACTTCTATATACAGCACATACACATACAGCACAGCCCATCACGGAAACTACAAAAGCTAGAAGGTTGAGTTTTCCCACACATATTCTTGGGCTTCCTACGCAGCGCAAGTTTATTTCAGCCGAGCGCCACGCCCCCTCTAACGCCCACAATCACACATTAACGATTTTAAAATGTGTCTGGCGCCCACACCTTTAAAGATTTCCGAGAAGTTTTAATGCAATTTTGTTATGTATATTTATACCTATCGAAATGTAAAAGACATTTTTCAAATCGGACCAATCATTAAAAAAAGTTATGTATCCATCTCCCTCGCAATCCCATTAGCCGAGTGACGGGTATTAGATAGTCGGGACACCAACCCGACTAAAGCGTTCTCTCTTGTTATACCCGTTACTCGTAGAGTAAAAGGGTATATTAGATTCGTGCAAAAGTATGTAACAGGTAGAAGGAAGCGTTTCCGACCCTATAAACTATATATATTCTTGATCAGGATCACCAGCCGAGTCGATCTAGCCATGTCCGTCTGTCCGTCTGTCTGTTCGTCTGTCTGTCTGTATGAACGCTGAGATCTCAGCAACTACAAAAGCTAGAAGGTTGAGATTTCCCACACATATTCTTTGGCTTCCTACGCAGCGCAAGTTTATATTAGCCGAGCGCCACGCCCCCTCTAACGCCCACAATCGCCCACTAACGATTTTAAAATGGGTCCTGCGCCCACATCTTTAAAGATTTCCGAAAAGTAAAAATGCAATTTTGTTGTGTATATTTATACCTATCGAAATGTAGAAGACATTTTTTAAATCGGACCATTCATTAAAAAGTTATAGGGGAGTGTAGGGTAAGGTGACGAACGATTCGTTTTTTGAATGTAACTAAAAATCAATATTTTTCAAAAGTGTAAACGCAGAAAGTTGCTTACATCTACTGAGCATATCCCTGAAAAATTCGAAATTCGAAATTCCAATGCAGCTAAATCCCAAAGCGTTTGGCGTGAACCCTTCGAACGAACGACTTGTTCTTTAATGTAACTTCTCCAAAAATCAATATTTTTTAAAAGTGTAAAAGCAGAAAGTTACCTACATTTACTGAGCATATTTCTAAAAAAATTTGGATTCGAAATTTCAACGTAGCCAAATCCCACAGCGCTTGGTGTAAACCATCCTTTTTACAAACAAAAAAAATAAATTTTTTTATATATTATTTACGGAAAGGCTATTTTCGATACGGAAAAGAAAGAAGTAATAAGATAATACCCAAACTTACAAAAAAACAAGAGAGAACGCTATAGTCGGGTTGTTGTCCCGACTATCTAATACCCGTCACTCAGCTAAAGGGAGTGCGAACGCTGTGTCGGGTTGGTGTCCCGACTAATAATCGTAACTCAGCTAAAGGGAGTGCGAGGGAGATAGATATATAATTTTTGATTGCGTATAACTTTTTAATGAATGGTCCGATTTGAAAAATGTCTTCTACATTTCGATAGGTATAAATATACACAACAAAATTGCATTTATACTTTTCGGAAATCTTTAAAGATGTGGGCGCAGGACCCATTTTAAAATCGTTAGTGGGCGATTGTGGGCGTTAGAGGGGGCGTGGCGCTCGGCTAAAATAAACTTGCGCTGCGTAGGAAGCCAAAGAATATGTGGGGGAAATCTCAACCTTCTAGCTTTTGTAGTTTCTGAGATCTCAGCGTTCATACAGACGGACAGACGGACAGACGGACAGACAGACAGACGGACAGACGGACAGACGGACAGACGGACATGGCTAGATCGACTCGGCTAGTGACCCTGATCAAGAATATATATACTTTATGGGGTCGGAAACGCTTCCTTCTAGCTGTTACATACTTTTGCACGAATCTAGTATACCCTTTTACTCTACGAGTAACGGGTATAAAAATGGTCAAAGTGCAAATTTTTTAAAAATTAAATTAAACTGACGTCACTATTAAAAACAACAATAAAACTGCAGCAGTAAATGTTATCTGGTATTATTATATTTTTTTTACAAATAATCAACGATAACAGTTAAAATTCTTGAATAAAAAAAGTTCGTCACAATACCCTACAAAAAGTTCGTCACGATACCCTACAAGGTAGACTTGGAGCAAAAACGGTGTCACTCTCAAACGGCGCAAAAGAAAAAAAGCGAGGTACCAAAAACTGTTGATAAAGATCTCATGTATACGTGCATATATTTGCCTGATTTTATTTTCCACTCATCTTTGCTCTGGCACTGCTGAAACACAAGTAAATTGAATGGGTTTGCTAGTTTGCGCGCCACATTTTTAGCGAAAGTTACCTCACGAACAAATTCCGGGACTTCTTATTAATATTACTGTAAATACATTGTCGACACGATAAGACGTCTACATTTATTTGGAATTTTTGTCGTGACGTCATATATGAGATTCGACGAGTTCGTCACATTACCCTACTCGTCAAATTACCCTACACTCCCCTACGCAATCAAAATTTATATGTCTATCTCCCTCGCACTCCCTTTAGCTGAGTTACGATTATTAGTCGGGACACCAACCCGAGTACAGCGTTCGCACTCCCTTTAGCTGAGTGACGGGTATTAGATAGTCGGGACACCAACCCGACTATAGTGTTCTCTCTTGTTTTTTCCTCGTTTCATTTTTCACAGTCAAGAGGAAGAATTCAGAGTTGCAACGAAAAAACATCGGCTAACTATCGCGTAAAAGAGCCCGTCAAAGCCCGTCAAAATTGGATGGCGGACTAACAGGGAAATTTTCGGAAAGGCAAAACCTTACGAACCATCCGTTCAACGGATGGTAGATGGTGGATGGAGCTCTGTAGAAAGACCCTATAACTGGGAAAATTTTGGAACGGCAAAACTTTACGGACCATACGTTCAACGGATGGTGGAGGGCTCTCCGTGGGAAGACCCTATTTAATTCTTTGCATTACTCATTTAGCCCTTAAGAGTTCATTAGCCCGGCCTCGAATACCTTAGCGACCTTGACATAATTACATACTTTCGTGCACAACAACTTCAAAACAAACCATTTTTAACCACACTTAAAAATCGAGCATCCAGCAACGGCTGCCGATGGCCAATAACTTGTCCATTGGCTACGTGATATGCATCCGCAAAATTTCAGGTGGAGTACACATGGACAGTCATTACTGTTGTCTACGGCCACGACCTGCTGACACTAGCTAATTCAATTAAAATTGTCCGGTATCTTCACAGTTGCTCCATTGCCTATTAAAATCCTAGTGATTCTTGGTGTTTTTGAATAATTTGTATATATTTGTAGATCAATCAACATTCAGCTTACAGAAGAACTGGGGCGACAGCTGGAGAAGTGTAAGCGAGAGGGGACGAGTAGGCGAAAGGAGCAGCTGCGTACTTGGCGACCACTGGAGCAGCCACGGGGGCAATCACGGGGGCAGCAGCGATTCCATTGTAGTTCCTGGCGATCACCTGGCTACTGGTGGCGGTCACGACTGGAGCAGGAGCAGCCACCACTGCAGCAGGAGCAGAGTAAGCCAGAGGAGCAGTATAGGCCAAGGGAGAAGTGTAGGCCAGAGGAGCACCCAGGAGTCCTGGTTTGGCAGCAGCACAGGCAACTAGGGCGAGGAGGACAACAGCCTGTGGATAACAAACATTTATAAAACTATACAAAATATCAAATCCTTAAACTTACGGATTTGAACATTTTGAAGGTTTATTTGCTTTGGTGCTTTCGGTTCGAAAACTTGAACTTGTGTGATGTCGTTCAACACTTTTCCTTTCGTTATTTATACTGCGTCTGTGACCTCAGAGCACCGAATTCATTGGCCACCAACAGATATTCCACATTCAGCAGTGGGAAATCACATAAAGTATGGTAAAGTGCAAATAGTAACGCGAGACTGTCACAGCATTTAAATGAACTGAGTGCGTCAGAGCTAAGTAAAGTTTTGGGTATAAATGTGCTACACCAAGATCAGTTGGACATCATTCAGTTTCTAGCCCTTCGAAGAAGCAAATCAAGTAATATAGCCACCATGTTCAAATACGTAAGTTCTTATAAAAAGGAACATTGGAGGATTATATTAATTAAGTTAATTTATACGTAGGCCGTTGTTGTCCTCGCCCTCGTTGCCTGTGCTGCTGCCAAACCAGGACTCCTGGGTGCTCCTCTGGCCTACACTTCTCCCTTGGCCTATACTGCTCCTCTGGCTTACTCTGCTCCTGCTGCAGTGGTGGCTGCTCCTGCTCCAGTCGTGACCGCCACCAGTAGCCAGGTGATCGCCAGGAACTACAATGGAATCGCTGCTGCCCCCGTGATTGCCCCCGTGGCTGCTCCAGTGGTCGCCAAGTACGCAGCTGCTCCTTTGGCTGGCCCGTTGGCATATTCCTCCCCTTTGGCATTCTCCACCCCTCTCAGCTACGCCGCTGCTCCCACGCCACTCCTTATCTAAATTAAACTGCGATCACAATCGACAATAAATAATATTGTAAATTAAAAGTAAATTAATGGCTTTTAATCATGCGAAAATCCACGGGTGAAAAGTGAACGGGGAGGGGATATTAAAAAGGTATGAAAAAAATGTATTTGAAAATCCTCGTTCCGCCACTGTTTTTAAGGGTGCGTGGGCCTTATGACACTTTTACGAGTGTCATAACGCCCTTTCAAAAAATGTCATAGTGCCCCCGGGTGTTATGACACTTTTAAAAGTGTCATAACGCCCGCAACTTCTAAAAAAACTCTAAAATGCATTTTGAGTTAATGAGAATACCGATAAGAATACCTTTTTGTTGTAAAGCGCATTCGAATCAATGAGATTACCGAGAAGAGAGTACCGTTTGTCATGATACCTCTCATGCTTTTTCATAATTTAGTCAGTTAAACATTTCAGGAGTTATGTTCCGGTTCTGATTCAGAAGATGAAGATGTGGAAAATACTTTGCAGTTCAGCCAAATGGCTGACGTGCTGAAATGTATTATTTGCATTGATAGGGCGCGGCACGTAGTTTTTCTACCATGTAGGCAGTTCAAAATATGCTTTGAGTGCTTCAAAAATCTGGAACAGCGTTCAAAAAACTTTCTATTGCTCTGCCCGTACTGCAGACAGATAGTTGAAAATCATTTACAAGTATTTCAATAAATTGTTAAATAGACCGCTGACAAAAATTTAAAAAAAAAAAAAATCGCGCGATTTTTTTGACAAAAATTTTTTTCCTGCGGCGCTTTTCTTTACCCCCAATATTTAACTTGAACCACATTACTCATTGCTAAATTATTCTACACAACTGTTTACTATATTACCTCTATGTTACTCGCATTTCCAAGTATTTCAATAAAATGTTATATACACTCAAAAAAAAAATTTTTTTTTTCTTAAATATAGAAAAAGAAAATGTTTCTGTGCTTTAAAAAAATATTCTATAAAGAGGAAAAATTTTCTAATCTTCAGAAAATTTTTCTAATTTTCAAAAAAATTCTCTGTTGAACGAGTTTTTGTAGAAAATTTTTCCTCAAATACAGAAAAATCAATCTTTTTTCTAAATTATAAGGTTTATTTTTCTAATCTTCCTTTCTTTATTTGAGTGTTAAAAAAAATACTAAACTTTTCAAAACTAAAAAAAAATTTCCATTAAAATTATAAATATTTCTACATAAAAGAAATATTGTTTTTCTAAAAACAGAAAACATGTTTGAAGATTTTTCAAACATTTATAAAAAAATTTGTGACACTAAGAAATATTTTTCTAGAAAATAAAAAATTTAACCGTATTTGGTCAATTTCAATTTACACTTTTTAGAAAATTTTTTTTAGCCTAAGAAAAAATCGCTATTAATCGAAGAAAATTTCCGGGATTGGTAGCCTAGGGGTCTAACGCGTGCGTGCATGCATATGTTATTTAAGCTTGCGGCTGCAAGTGTGAGTTCAATCCCACGTCCAAACGAAAATCTCATGGTGCCTTTTGTTTTTTTTAACACTAATATTTACATATTAATAAAAAAAATGTATTGCATTTTTTTTAGCTCATGAATAATTATATTTTTTCATAAAAATGACGTTTAAGTTTTTCAAATTTGAAACATTTAATTACACTCAGAAAAAAAATCGCCCATAATTGTAGAAAATCGCCATTCTTTGAAAATCGCCTTGAAATTCAGAAAATATTTCTATTTTTAAAAAATATTTTTCTAAATAATAAGAAAAACTAACCCTGATTAGATCAACTCCTCTTGTTATCCACTTTTAGAAAAAAATTCTGAATAACAGGTTAACTAAGAAAAAATCGCCCTACATTTTAGGAAATTGGCCCAATCGGTAGCCTAGGGGTCTAATGCGAGCGGATTATTTGTTTTCTACGCTTATATTCGGAAGCGTGTGTTCGATCCCACGTCGAGGCGGGCATTTTTTGCGTCTTTTTTTTTTTGGCGCATTAATATGTATACTTTAATACAAATAAGGATTTAGGTAAACTAACACACACATAATGGATAAATAAGAGTATAAACCTAGTGCCCAAGAGAACAGAATGAGAATGTACTTTATACAGCGCCTCTCGTGATGCTTCCCTGGCGCAGCTAGTAGAGTGTTTGATTGCAAACTGTGAGGTAAGGGGTTCGAATCCCGCGAGCGACCAAAATGTTTTTCTCAAGATAGTAAGTAATTTGATTTTTATGTTTATCATTAATAAATGTGGGATATGGGTATATTAGGGTATTAAGCGGCCTACAGTGGCTCACAGCTTATTTCGTGCAGAGGTAAACTTAAAATTTAAACTCGTAAAGCTAACAAACTATACGATAATTTACCAAAATTTAAATGCAGTTATGTTAGGTAGTATTTTGGCCCTTATTAACCCACTTTTCTATTCTAAGATTCCATAGAATAACACTTAAAATTAAAAAAAACTAAAATCATTGACTTTTTTAATGTCACAGAAATAAGCTGTGTGCAAAACTTTAAAATTATTATTATTTGTAAATTATGGCTAAAAATGTGTTTTTTTTTTATTTCTACATTGAAGCGCCTATTATCAACAATTTTTTTTTTAATTTTAATTATGTCAAATAGACTAAAATACAAGAAAGGAAGCTAGCTTCGGCCAGCCGAAGCTTATATACCCTTGCAGATAATTCCTATTAATTTACAAATCGCAAAAATGTTAATTTTCCTATTATTTCTCATTAATTATACCCGTTACTCGTAGAGTAAAAGGGTATATTGTATTCGTGCAAAAGTATGTAACAGGGAGAAGGAAGCGTTTCCGACCCCATAAAGTATATATATTCTTGATCAGGATGACTAGCCGAGTCGATCTAGCCATGTCCGTCTGTCCGTCTGTCCGTCTGTCCGTCTGTCTGTCCGTCTGTCCGTCTGTCTGTCTGTATGAACGCTGAGATCTCAGAAACTATAAAAGCTAGAAGATTGGCATTTTGCATGCAGATTTTGGGAATTCCTACGCAGCGCAAGTTTGTTTCAAAATGGTGCCACGCCCCCTCTAACGCCCACAATCGCTTATATACGATTTTAAAAATTTTAATATTTTGGAAAAGTAAAAATGCAGTTTTATTGTGTTTATCAATACCTATCGAAATGTAGAAGAAATTTTTCAAATCGGACCATTCGTTAAAAAGTTATGCGTGATCAACGTTTTCTATCTCTATCTCCATCTCCCTCGCACTCCCTTTACCTGAGTAACGGGTATCTGATAGTCGGGGCATCCGACTATAACGTTCCCTCTTGTTTTGCGTTCGTTTCAATGGCAGCTATATGATATAGTAGTTCGATTTTGATAAAATTAAAATCGAAATTCGATAATAGTTGAAAAGAGTTATATCCTAGAGTAGAACAGAATACAATAAAAACCAACGAAGCAATAATTTATTTCCTATTATATTCCCATTTATTTTCCGATCGTTCCTATGGCAGCTATATGATATAGTCGTCCGATTTTGAAAAAATTTTATTCGAAATTCAGAATTAGATAAAAAATGACATTTCCAAAAGTAGGATGTTATAGGTTCAAAAACACCCAAGATATAATTTTTTTACATTTTTTTTCCCGATTGTTCCTATGAGAGCTATATGATATAGTTGTCCGATCCGGCTCGTTCCGACTTATATACTACCTGCAATAGAAAGAAGACTTTTGGGAAAGTTGTATCCCGATAGCTTGAAAACTGAGAGACTAGTTTGCGTAGAAACGGACGGACAGACGGACAGACGGACGGACAGACGGACAGACGGACATGGCTAGATCGACTCGTCTAGTGATGCTGATCAAGAATATATATACTTTATGGGGTCGGAAACGTCTCCTTCACTGCGTTGCAAACTTCTGACTGAAATCATAATACCCTCTGCAAGGGTATAAAAAGTTACATGCAAAAAAAATAAAATAATCAATTAAAATGTTTAAATGTATATTTTCGTATTAAAAATGTCGAAAAATGTATCCCAAATTTGCAGAATTTATTGAGCAAGGACTTAGTTCTCAACTATCCATGGTCAAACGCTTCTTACGAAGGAATTAAGTGGTACCAATAGGCCCAAAATGCATCCTGTACAATAGTATCTGAACTGGAACAGACTTAAAATTATTAAAAATGTATAGTAAATTTAACAGTACGGGCTTCAAAGTTGGCTGTAATTGTTCGCAACGAAATGGTCTAATAATGTTTAGAACACAATTTCCGCCTCTTACAGCGAGATCACAACATTATTGGTCAATCAAGCCGAAATAAAGTATTTATTACCTACAAGTACATGCTCAGCTATTTTTGCGACAACAAAAGTTTCCTGTGGCGAAAAGAGGAGGTGCCAGAACTTGCAAACGACGAAAAAATTGCAAAGAGACGAACAAGAAGTGGCAACGAGACGATCAAGCAGTGCAGCGTGACGACATCGTAGAAGAGTACGAGCTGGAGTAGCAGAGTGGACTGGATTGGCAAAATTGGCTGAGGCGATTTCACATATTTAATCTGATTTGAACTTTTTTTGAATACACGAATTGTTTAACGTTAATTAAATTCTTACTTTGTTGTATCAAAACATTTAAATATTGAATTGTACCACTGATTGTAAACGGTTTAAACGCATTACCATGGATGCTAGAACGATCCTCGCTAAAACTGTGCCTCGACTAAGGGCAAAGTTAACCGAACTAGGTTTGGATACAACTGGCAGAAAAGGAGCCTTGCAGGATAGGTTGTTCGATCATTATCAATTAGTTGTGGCTCACGATGAGGACGGCGAGGCTGATGAGGATGTTGCGAGTGTTAGTAGTGCTTCCAATTACCAAGAGGCGGTTCAACCTAGTAGCTCGAGATTTACCCTACGCGATATTCAGGACAGCGTTTCATCATTTTCAGGCTCCGAACAGGAAGACGTCAATCACTGGCTGTCTGAATTCGATGACGTTGCAGTTACCGTGGGTTGGGATAATTTGCAGAAATTTATTTATGCCAAGCAAC